TTTCGCATCGTCCCACCCCCGCCCCCCCTCTCCCCCGACGCCGCCGCCCACCCCCGCACCGATCCGTCTGTTGCCGAGTCATTTGACTCTGCCAGGCATAAATTACGAATAATTAAGAGAGCGACGGCTTTAAGTATATTTGAATACCATGAATCGAGGGCTTGCCGTGTTGTCACTATTCGCAGCGCGGTGCTGCCATTTGTGGCGTATATTTTCTACTCTTTCCATACCTCCGTGTCAACCAAAATTGTGGTGGAATTTCCCAGACTCTTTGATTTACCCCCTTCGAGGTCTTCTTACGGTAAAATATACATCTAATCGATATCCCCCTCCCCTCTTCCTGTTTTCCCCTCCGCAATGATTGGAGTCCTTCAATTTTTTTTTAAAATTGTGATTTTGATTTTTATCGCGTTAATTGAAAGTTCAGCAGAATTTCCCCTTTTTTGTTTAGTTTGGACCATTGAAGCCTCGCAGAGGGCCCAAACTTTCCTGTACTAAAATGATGTGACCGTATCTTTCTTATGGATGTACTCAATGGGATTCAAAGTCTGCCTTAAAAGTCTAGGTTTGTCACATTGACAGCAATATTGAAATGTTTTTTGAAACAATATTTACAAGTAGACGTACCAAATTTTCAACGTGAAACCATCAACAAACTTGAAATTTTTTTTTTTCACAATTAAGATACATTATCATTCTTATTCTTGCAGTAATCTGGTTTTTTTTCTAGTTGATTAATTAATTCCGCCCATTGGTACCTTCCATCATCAATCAAAGTCGGTCTAGGACTATATCGATTCAAGTCGTTTGACCAAGGCCCAATGAGCGAATTTGATCCAGTCGTTGTCCAAATTAGTCGGACCGGAATGTACTAATCGCACTAATAGCGCGCGCGGCGTCGGATCCGCCAGGTTCCACGTGTTCCAAGGGGTTCCGCTGGATCCCATAACGTTTACCCCGATTTGTACCAACGGTCGCTTTAGTGAACTTCGAAAAGTAGAATCGTTTTCATCCGATTGAAATCGGAAATCGCCCAGTCCCAAAGCACAACTATAAAAAGTCACAGCCTCTCCACGCACGGCATCGATCACTCCAACCAGGTGCAAACCGAAACTTACAACTTCCGCACGATTTTCCTCGGTTGGGGGCGGGGTGGATAAAGTAGCTGTTAATTCTCGTTACGCTGCACTGATATTCAACTCGAAGGGTGGGGGTGGGTAAGGGGGGCTAAAAGCCTAGACGCGGGACCAAAGGAGTCGTAAGCATATATCATGCGAAATTAATTCATTTTGCGCGAGCACAAATACTTAAACCGTATGAGATGTCGCCTTGGATGGGATTAAGTGACGAGGAGGTGATGATGACATTACTACCGTCCTACAGAATACAGCAGTATGTGAGCTTTGAAGCGCGTACGGATGATTCTAGCCGGTGGATCTCGCCAAGACACACACACGCTTATTCCTCGCACACAGGTAGCACGGCAGATTTGCTAACGCGACGCGACAGATGTAAACGTGTACTCAAAGCTATCGTCATAATTGAGAGTTTTAGTGTGGGAGGAGGGGTGGTGAAGTATGCATAAAGGGCCAGACGTACATTACGCATGATGGAGGTATTAACATGCGCTCATAAACATTAGCAAGTTCCTACTGGAGGACCCGAAGAACCCGAGATGGAGACGTCCCTCCCGCCCAAAATATAAACGCCGTAACTCCATTTTGGATTTTGAGTTCATCCTCCATACATACTGTTCTATTACGCAAAAAAAAAAAAAATATCTGTTTCTCGTTATTTTTCATTGATTTCAGTTTGAACTTTAATGATAATTTGGAATTGGAAATTTTCAGATCCAACATTTAATTGCGTACACAGTTCTCATAGAGGAGTGGAAAGGAAAATATCTGTAATTGCTTTGGAAACATAATTTTGTATCGGGAAAATGTTCGCAACGTATGAATGGCATACGGCGTCCTCTCATAGCTTAGGAGTGGTGTTTTCTTTATTGTCGAGACTCGATCTGACATCGCACTTTCATGATACGACTATTCGAATTCCCGTGTTACCAGTTTAGTATCAGCCGTAATTGAAGGCGTTTTTGCTGTGGCTTATTTTTTCTTGAACGTAACCGTTTTACAAACGTTCTTTTCTAGTTCTCTAGCCTTTTTTGCTGATTTTTAATCCAAAAATTAGCATGGATTCGATGTATTCTTTCAAAAAAATTAATGCATATTTCCTGTAGAATCAAATCGGGAATATTTACCTCTATCTTCATTTTATCTCTATTTATATTTCGTATTTCTTCCGAAGAGATTACCTCAGAATTCTTATTAATAATGTAGAATGTACAGGACTGAGGAGGAAATCGAAAAGATTGATTCGGAAAGAAAAATCCCTCAATCAATTTTATGATATGCAAAGAGTAGCACCCAGCACCTTCGACAAACGCTATTTCTTCCAAGATGTCACCCTAAATTATCAATAATCTTAGTCTAATTTCAAAGACGCTTTTAAATACAAATGGGGATAAAAAAATATACCTAAACCTCCGTTGCTTATTCGTAGTAATATTCATTATGGTCTTGGTCCTCCTCATCAAATGAAAAGTTTCAGATCTACCTTTAATTTTGACTTTGAAATATGTATTTTATCGGGAGGGGGCGGAATGTGTCAGCCGAAAGATAAATATTTTTCAAGGGCATATTTACCAAATATAGCTATGAGGGGATGAACAGAGGAGCGGAGAATCTAATATTGGGAGGAATTTCAAATCAGTTCAGGGCGTGGGTTTAATAAAGTTGCACAAGAGCAATTTAGAATGGGCAATATTGCCTTTGATTCAGTCACGGAAAAGCCAGATAAACAGTTTCCATTGTCAAATTGCCAATTCTTCACGTGAAAGCCTCAGGAATTCCCGGAGATGGATGACAGCGTGACAACCTGCGTTCCAATAGGAGGGAGATGTGGGTTTTTTCCCTTCCTGACGACGAATCGAATCCATCATTCGATGGCTATGCTTTTATTCGCAATAACAGTTAATTTAACTGAGGAAATTCACCCTCCATTCTATTCATCTTTCCCGCGCAGCGTTTGTTTTTCATAACTCCGGATGAGCTTGCTCAAGTTCTGCGTCCTGTGCTTTCTACTGCTAAAGCTTTCTCAGCAGTATTTCGGCAAACGTCAGAAGATAAATAAAATCTTATTCTCATAAAGTCATATCGTTCAAACTTAAAGAGACAATTTTACTACGACACATAGTTTCAAGTGCATTGCTCCCATTAAACCTATAGTATGTAATTGTTTTCGGTGCCAAGGCCGCGGGAGTTCAAAATCAGAATATATTCCGGGCCGAGTTGCGACATTTTCATTTCAATATCAACGAATAGTTTCACAATCTGTAACCAGCGCAGGGGACAATTTATTTTGATGAGTACGATACGAACCTTTAACTTGTACAGAAAATAATCCGACCCACCTGAAATCGACTTTCAAGCAAAACAAATGATAAAAACACGTGTCGAGATGCAGCATCGTCTATCTGCACTTTTTGTGTTCAATCCGCGGCATAAAAATGAAGAACCCAGATCCAACCATTATCTCGTAGCAGATTCCAGCTTAAAAGTGTGTTGCTGCGCGTCATGCATATTCAAATAGAAAAAGCGCCGCGGCTTTTTGATGGGGGCGTTTCATCATCGAAACTTCGAAATAGAGACATCACACACTTCTTGCACCATTTATCTATCTTTTGATGCGTCAAATTTTATATTGTGTCGTGATAGCATGCAAGAAAACGGGAGAGTCGCGTCAGTAATAAAATCTAAGACCACTTATTAAAACTTTGAGACAGGTGAAAAAACAATAAGATAATGAGCCTGTTGCATGCAGGAGATACAGCCGCGCGAATAGACTTTTCAGAGGTTAAATGACACGAAAATTACGATGGTCACATTAAAAAAGTCTGAAATACACTCCTTACTGCGCAATTTGCGTTGTTAGGAACGCGCTTTTTCAAATTTCCCGCGTCTGAGGGCAGTTTTCTAATCACCGGGAACGAGCAAACGGCGGGCTCGGTGATGTCCGGAAGATACCGAGTCGTTGTTGTTGTTGTTATTTTTTCCTTCAGTTTATTTACAAACCCAACGTGATCTCTTATAGTGGTCCATATACGCTTTATGCGGTAACCAAATCGATCAACTTTTTAATATCCAACGCAATTCTTCTACATTTCATTTCACGATATCACGAGCTCCGATTTTTAGGTTATGTTGTCAGTTTTAGTTGACCGGAAATAGCCGCGAGTTGCCGTTAATTGTTTCCGTTAGAAAACTGCCCCCAGCCGCGGGAAATTTGAAAAAGCGCGTTCCTAACAACGCAAATTGTGCAGTAAGGAGTGTATTTCAGCCTTTTTTTATGTGGTCATCGTAATTTTCGTGTCATTTAACCTCTAAAAAGTCTATTCGCACGGCTGTATCTCTTGCATGCAACAGGCCCATTATGTCCAACCATCACACGTGTAACACGACCCGTGTCAAAAAGATATTGCCTACCCGAAAACACAATGATTAACGTTATCCAACTTTCTACGTTCAATATTAACCGAGGCATCGCCCTTTGAAAAGTCGGGTTTTTGACGTCATCCACCGCGGTAGTGACACCCTTGGTTTCTCCCTTATTGGTTTTATCAGTCAGGGAGACATACATTAGCACTGGTTACTCTTCGTGAAACACGGATGAAAGCAAGGTGGAAGAAATCAAGAATGTCACTACCGCGGTGGATGACGTCAAAAACCCAGCTTTTCAAGGACGATACCTCGGTTAATATTAAATGTAGAAAGTTGCGGTTTGGAAAGATCTGAATATATGTTTAGCTAATCTACAAGAAGTAAGCATGAAAACACAGTTGTGTGACCAGCGCAATTGACCTATTATGAAGACTGTGGCTTGAGGGCAGAGAATTGAATGCATATTTTGACTAAACTGATTGTACTTTATGATTTCAGGTTGTCTGGTACAAAGGGACCCTGCGACTGGAGCCGAACGAGGGACGGAGATTGGAGATCCGAGGGAGTCGCCACATCCTCGTCCTGACCAAGGTCCAAGCTTCCGACTTCGGCAACTACAGTTGCGTCGCCGATAATTCCTTCGGCAAATCTCGGGCTCATCTCGAACTATCGGGTAAGAAAATCACTCCCGCCTCATACATTTTACGCTGTGTATTCAGCTTCATGTTCATTGGCAACTTAGGTAGTTCAGTCTGATTTCTGGTCGTGTATTGGGTGTGCACCACGTCAGGGTCGCATTGACCAGGGTCCTGTTAGCACCGCGGGGCCCCCTTGGAAATCTTTTTTAAATCCCAGATCCTCGAGGGATCTTCAGAGTCTAAAAGATAGATTTAGAGAGGCCTCAATTCTAGAATTTTGGGTGTCATGGGGCCCTTAAATTTTAAGATTTTAGGCCCCTAGCATGCCGAGGCTCCTATGCGCTAATCCGGACCTGGACCACGTGTCTCGTTCTAACAAGATCGCATTTAGCAAAGAAGAACCAGTGCAATTATAGTGTTTTCACAATTCTGCAGCTTCTACGTGTCTTTTAAAAATACTCAATATAGATACAGTATTAAAGTTTACGCTATTATTTTCCTTTAAAATCGTCTATTATTTGATGGGAAGCAAAACGAATTTGCTCTTCTGGGAAATTTTGTAAATGATTTTGGAGAAGCAACATTTTTACAACACTGTAATCGCGCTGGTTCCTTTTTGCTAAATCCGATCCAACCAGAGTACTTCTACAGACAGGCAATGGACACTGGGTCACATGTTCACTCTTGGAACAATGATTTTTCGAAAAATTTGGGGGCCCAAGTTCCAGCTGAAGACATTTTTGGGGAAAAAATGTTCTTTTTAAGGAACATAATTCTTTGGAGGGGCCGAGTAGATTTTTAGGGGGGCCAGCCCTCTGAGCCCCCCTATTTCCGCTAATGTCCATGAAATTAGAAAATTGAGAGCTGATGGAAATCCTGGCGAATGACGGGAAAAATCCGACAACAGCGCCGCAACTAGATCTGCGGACGGCCGGGGAAACTGGGAGGAGCGTGTGGTGCCGACTGCATGTTCATCACTGATAAACCTTTTTCGAACTCGGAGTCTGAGTCGGAGCGTCATTCCATTAGGCCACCATTGCTCATCTCCCGGTTGGCAGACGGCACACTCCGCGCCGCGCCGCCCGGGCCGGGCCCGCATTCGCCTTTGCCTCTGCCTTTGGCTCCTTTCATTACCTTTCTTCGGCTCCATTGAAAAACTGCCTCCGGCGCCGCGCCCCAGCCCCGGGAATCCGCCAACTTCTCCGGCCCGTCACGAAACTCGCGAGTCGATCTTCTTCCATCTTGCCTCGCGCCGCTCAGTGGATCGTGTCAATAGGAGAGGTCGCACACAATCTGGAAACTTCTCAAGCTTATAAATCCGTTCATACAAAATTGTATGCTTTTAAAAGTGCTTTCGTTGGTCTCCTTGTGAAATTTTCTTCCGGAAGCACCCCTCTCAAAGTCTAAAATGTGACGAAATAAACATCAAAATTTGCAGCTTAGTCAAAAATTTCACGTCCGACCTCTCTAATTGACTTGATCCTTTGTGCGCCGCCCCGCTAAAATGACTATCTGGATTTGTGGCATTGTCACGGGGTAGCGCTCTTTCGCTCGAGTCTAACAGATCGTCGCTCTTCTGACGTAAGGGCGTAACTCAATTTCCACACGAGCTCCGGGAAGCATAGAGCTATACGAAGAGCAGGGCTCACGCGAAAATTGAGACACGCCCTTACGGCGGATGAGCGACGAGATTAGCCTTCAGTTTGATGAATTCAGCACATTCTGAGAGTTTTAGTGGTTGGTTGGCCCGTGTTCCCGATAGCTAACTAAAATTTTTGACACTGAGTCAAGGCTGGATTCGTAAGAGCTTGTATTGCTAATTGAATCAACAACATTCATAATATGGCGCATGGATAGGGCCACTTTTGGCGTTTCAGACAAATGAGACGGCTATTGCAGGTATTGTAAGTAGTAGGAATTTTCGCCCACCGACGCACATTGGACCGAGCCAATAGGAAAAGGACAACATTTGGAAACTTTAAAAGCTCATAACTCCGTTCATAAAAAGTTTTGATGTTTTAAAAATGGTTACATTGGTTTCCTTGTGAAATTTTCTTCCAGAAGCACCCCTTGATATTTAAAATGTGATGAAATGAACATCTAAATTTGCAGTTTTAGTAAAAAAATTCATGTCTGACCTTTCTGTTTGACTCGATCCACTGTGCGACATCTCTGGGTACACAGAAAATCTGTTAATAAGGGGCTGCCCATAAAATGTATAACGGTTTAGAGAGAAGTAGGTAGAGGAGGCAAGGAAATCGTTATGCCATGTTGTGTTAATGTTTTAAAGGAAAGGGACCACGCAGTTCCAATTCTTACGAGAGGGAGGAGGGAGGGGGGTTTAAAAATCCAAAATTTAGTGATACATTTTATACAGATAGCCCCCGAAGTGTTTTATCCACAATTTTTAAACGATCAGCCGATAGGGAGCGCTTTTTGATCTCAACCTGTCTATTGAACTCCTGCAGTATACTAGTAGCAATGCTTTCAAATGACGCACCAGCTCATAACAAGATGGTGAAGGGGAGCCCAACATTTTTAGCATAGATTAATCTGTGATGCCTTTATATAATGCCTCTGATGTTAGAGCACGGAGGATGATACTCCTTTTTCTATAATTTATTTTTTTAGCGGTCGTGTAGTTTTCTCAAAATTGGTAGTTGAATTCTTGGTGAGCGAGTTCTTTCATCTCAACGGTGCTCATTTTCTTCGGAGAACTTGAAAAGCCGCCTACACAGAAAACCGCTTAACTTTAAGCTATATTTAAGCCATACGAATGAAAAAAAAAAAAAAAAACCACCAAGAAGTGGCCCGAAACTGTATGTAACAAGATCAAATCCAAATCAAAGCCAAGTAGTTCCAAAAATTAAAATTAGAGTCAAAATTAATTTTTTGAGCTCTAATGCGCACCAGTACGAAACTGACTGTACTTTAAGCCATAAGATTTTGTCGATATATTGACCTCTTCCGTGACATTTGCAATTAATTGAAGGTCAGAATCGTTGAATCCTGATATTCATAATTTCAGAATATCCCCATATTCAGAATTTTGGCCTTTGAGAGGAGCTAAGGCTGAAGTTCTTCTCTTATCGAAATGGCACTCCTTGACCTCACGCTGCTGAAAGGAACATGTCTTTTTTATCCGTTTTTTTCTTGTCATGAGAGAGAGGGGATGGGTTAAGTTTGAAGAAGCCTACAATGTGCAAGGGGAGATAGTGTCCTAAAACTGTAGTATTTTTTCGTCTCCTCTCTTTCTCTTCCGGATGCTACCTCGTCTAAGATGATATTCGGAACTCAACATTTTTTGACACAATTGTTGAAGCAGGCTTCTATACGTATTCAAGAGTGTGGGATTTGCTACTTCATGATGATGATCTTTAGATGGAGCACTCCAAGTGAAAACTGAGGGTGTAGTTTGAACAAATTCGCATTACAAGTTTTATACACACGGAAAAAAGTGTTCGAGGTCATCCCCTAAAATTTTGATACTTCCTCGATTTGTTGGATGATATGAAAATGTTCAATTATGTTTGGTAGTACCGCCAAATTTCGGCTATAGTAAATTAATTGGGATAGTACCACACTTAATTTGAAATGCCCAAGTTGAGACTTCACCCCTAACACATTTATTAAAGCGCGAAATGTACAATTGTACATGGGATTTCCAAAAATAATTTGGGTATATGTCAATGCACTTGAATACACTTAATTTTTTCTTTTTTAATCCTGCATGAATTATATTAGCTAAAAAAATCACCATTCTAGCCTTCATGAGCTTGTGTCAGCTAATTTCTAAAATGAAGGTGACTTCAACGGAAGCTTAATTTGTTGCAGGGATCGCAAATCCAGCCTCGTTTCTGAGCTTCCCGAAGGGTCTTCTGCGGGACAGTTACAACATCAGTTGGTCGGTGGACAGCTACACACCTATCGAAGAATTTAAACTCTTCTTCAGGAAAATCCCGAAGAACGGATCGTCGTCACAAACGCAAGGACCCAACTCTAACAAACGACCCACAAGGCGGGTAAGTCGAAGTCTTATTTATCCTATTAATTCAACACTTAAAGCCTGCTTTTCACGCAGCGTTTAATATACATGCGATCAGTCACCAAAGAGTCAGAGCTACCATTGACTGCTCCCCTTAAAACCTCTTTCAATTTCTAGAATTCACTTGTCGAAACTATTAAAAGAAAGGCGAAAGAAAGTTTGTGGGAGCTAGTTTGGATTAGTATATTCTAGAATTTAAGTATTTTGATTTAATGTAATACATGTAAAAAAAAAGTCGAAGGAGATTTCAAGGCACGTTTTACAGTTTCGGACTTCAGGAGGTCCATTTAATAGGGTCGCTAAAATGTGTCGTCTCCGGTTGAATCCAGTTGCATGTCTTACTTTGCGATAAATCGATTTTTTCCCCGTCAAAACGTATGAAAAATGATCATCGATTCTTTCCCATAGCTTCAAATGATAAAATATCGATGTTCAATAATTCACGCCTCGCGACCGGTCAAATTGTCTGCCGCGAATCCTCTCCCTAGGCGAAACTCTAGACAGACGAGACAGCTGTGTCCAGCTTCGATTATGCCACGCTAAAGGAAATCATAGTTGTAGGAACTTTTGGATGTTGCCGAAGTGCCTTCGATGAAATATTTGTTTTTGATGAAGATTTTTATCTTTCTCAAAAACAATTTAATTCATTTATGACTTTTTTCGCGGAATATTTTCAGATTCTTTACATTTAATAGTAATCAAGAATTCGCAGGTGTCTAAAATTTGATGAACTTTGTGTTACGTACTGAGTGAACTGAACACGAGGATAACCTTGGTTCATAAATTAAACGATTATTGGTGGAGATAAGGCGAATTATCTAATTTGCTAAAATACGCGTGTTTCAATGGGAAATGCCGCCAGATAACGTAAGTAGGTGGCTCATTTTCTCTTTTATAAATCTATTTTAATACTATTTCCCATCTCAGAATAATTAATGAAAAACTGCAAAAGCAGCTCTCCAAGCACTCTCAGATAAAGCAATAAAAAATTTGCGCGCAAATCCTCCAAAAATCAATCGGAAAATAATTACAAGTTTCTGTGTACAATTTTCACGAAAAAAAGTCCGGCATCGGCTGAAGGCTCATATGGCGTTCTTCCAATAGCACGGAGGGTAATCCTGCCGTTCTAAAGAAAAACGCCGTATAAACTTTTAAATGTTGCTAGGTCTGCTTCGAAAAAAAACCGAATGTAGTGGGAAAATTGTGAATATTTTCCCCCAAAAATTGCAGACAATTTTGTACACAGTTTAATCCAAAATATCTGAAAATTTCAAGGAAAAATATGCACGAATGTTGTCAAAAATGCATGTTTCACTGAGGGAAATTTGGCAACTCCTGAATGTTCATACGACGTTTTTCCTTAGCACGGAGGGTAGTAAGAGTGGTTCTTCCCGATCAAACGGCCGTCCGATCGGGTCCGCCGTGAACGTATCGACACCCAGGCCCGCGACATCAATCAAATTAATTTCCGCCACCCGCGTGCCCGCGTCTCCTCTTTTTCCGC